CAAACCAGTATATAAAAAACGTTGTATGAATCGAAAAAAAAACTTACAATAATTTTTTCCCAGCAAATTGAAAGCGTGCAAATACGCGGACAAAAACTAGTATATAACATACAAGTAATTGGCCGTAAGCAATATGTAGGGAAATATACAAAATTATATATTTATATATAAGAGATATACATCGGCGGACGTGCGAATCAACGTGGCGATCAGCGCACACGGGATACGACGCCGCGGTTAAGTCCGACGATAAAAAAATAAAACTATTTAAATTTAGAAGCTGTTTGTAATTTCAACCACTTAATATCGGTTTTAATAATTAAAAAAAAAATATTAATTATACTTGAATTGTCGAACAGTAATATAAATAAATCTTGTACCGTTTGCTAGTCTGTATTAATACGAATTTGTAATTGTAAAAAATATAAATTTGTGTAACGGTAATTTAAATAAGCTTATTGCCGTTTGCTAATATGTGTTAATACGAATTTGTAATTGTAAAAAATAGAAATTTGTGTAACGGTAATTTAAATAAGCTTATTGCCGTTTGCTAATCTGTGTTAATACAAATTTGTAATTGTGAAAATTATAAATTTGTGTTAATAAATAAAATAATAAAAAACCTGTGTATCAGCATTATAAGAATATTTAAAATAAACACATTTTTGGTTTCATTACGTGTCTATTAACATATTTATCCATTCTTAATTGTGCTAAACAACCAGCAGACTGAGGAGGTCAAGTCCATTAATTAACAAAAAAAACTTAATATAATATATTAGGATATATTGTTTTATTGAATTCGATCGGATTAATTTAAAAAACGAACTATACTAACATACGGCCATTATGGGTTCTGCCCCCAAATGTTCTTAGCATGCTTCTTCGAAACACATCGTATCCAAATGTGTGGCAAGTATTGTTATTGTTGTTTAACAATACCTCTTCTGGTCTAGATTTTATATAAAAATTCATTGAATCAAACAAAATGCACGAACACATCGTACGTCACTCGAATACTTCACGCAATGTGATTTGTGTCACGCACTGTGTGACACGCGTACTACATTCGCGGTGCGCATACGCAACTCTTTGTACTGTATCAATACGAGTAGACAAGAATACGAAAATATCGACGTGAACGATAATTAAAAAAAATATATATTAACATAAATTCTAATAAGAAATGTCTCTAGTTTATACACGCGTTTATAATTAAGGTCATTGAATTTTGGTATAAAAAAAATGATATTTTTATATTTTACACTTTTCTTTTTTTTTATGTAACTTACAATGGCAAAAAAGCTGATGGCCCACCTGATAAAACGTGGTAACCTGGCTATAGACATGAGCAATACCATGGATATGACAGAGACATAACATTTTATATGCTATTTCGAAATTTTGTATTATAAATTTTGTATTATACATTTTTTTTTTACAATTTTTTTAAGGATTGAAAAAAGTAAATTCTCTATTCGATAGTATGTTTATGTATGTTTATAAATTGTAGAAGACATATTTTCCTTATGCTTATTTCTTCCCTTTAATATTTTTTCCTTTTTTTTTTATTAATATTACTAAAGTGCGTTTTAAATACAATCAACAGAATTAAATCTCAGATTAGTTCATGATAAATTTGAATTTTAATTAGATTAAAAAAAAAATATTTTTAATTCGAGACATATTTGCATATAACTTTTTTTTTTATGTAAATGCAAATCTAAAATATTTTATATCTATAATTATGTATAGAGAAAATATACAGTTTTTTTTTTTTTTTTATTTTATTTTAATAAAATAATAAAGTATTGTTTACAAATTTACATCTGTTTCATCGATCTAGTCTTGCTGACTAACGAAGTCAACAAGTTGAATTAATTAAACTATGAACGTATTTAATTGTAACTTTCTAGCGTTGAAGTGATTCAAATCAGCACTCGTAATTACTTCGAAGCAAAAATAAACAAATGCCTTTCTCTTTTTGGTTAAAAAAAATCAAGTTAATTAAATTGTACAATCTCTCCTACTTATCATTGTAGAATTTAAAAAATATATATGTGCACGACTATAATCTCAAATGAGGTTTTTTTTCTACCGTGAAGTAGTTGTGTTTGCATGGCTGTGTTTCAGTTTGAAGTGTGGGATATGGCAGTGAATTTACAGGGTACAGAGGAATAACAGCTTAGTCCTCAGGAATGGCAACGCATGGGGGAGTGTGTCATGGGCGAAACAGTATACTCTGTTATGTCCATGGTACAACTCATGTCTATAGGCGACGGTTACCGCTTTCCATCATGTGGGCCTGCTTGTTTGCCGTTCTAAGTTGTATATAAATAAAAAGTAAGAATTAAAAATCTTCAGACGTATCGTGCAGACATAGTGGCGTGTGCGCCGTACATTTATTGTTAAGAACGATTCTCACAGCCTCGTAGTGGCCATTCTGTGCTTTGTTAGGTGGTGACTCACTCTGCTCATGTTAGTAACTTTAAATCCAATTCTTTATTAATTTAGTAAACACTAGCTAATTTCCCGTGGCTTTACACGTGTGCAACAGTATATAAAATATCATGTGTATTAAGGTTAGGATATAATCTATCCTTATACCAAATTTAATTCAAATCTGTTCAGCTATTTAAGAGGAACCAACCGGAACTGCAGTTAGTCTTTGGTGATGTTCGAAGAGGGACGCTGCTGCCTATTCCTCGACCATTAATTCCCTTAGTTGCCTCTTACGATATCTATGAGAAAGGAACGGGTGGCCCATTCATTTTATTATCACTGTTATATATTTAGTTTCGGCTCTAATATAAATGCATCATCATCATCGGCATCATATCAGCCTTTAACTGTCCACTGCTGAACATAAACCTCCCCGTGGGGGGGTTTGCCGATAGTTGCCACGCTTGGCAGACGAATTAGCAATCGCAGTTACATTTTGGAGATGTTTTAAGGGGGACGCTCTTGCCCATCCGTCACCCTCCCTTAGTCGTCTCTTAAGATACCCACGGGAAAGGAAGGGGTGGCCTGTTTTACGCCGGGACCACACAGTATTAGTAACAGCGAAGTACTAAATAAATGTTTATTCTTTCTTCCTTCTTTCTTTCACAATACGAAAGAATTATACCTACCTACTACATCTATAAATTTGACGTATAAAAACTCGAATCGTCAACGTTTTTGAGGTAACAACGCCTCTCACTGTCCATCGTTGCTGTACCTAAAAACATACCTCCATTTAATGCACAAAGCATTTGAATATATGAACAAAAGGCTTCCTGTGGGAGCGGCAGCAACGAGAAACGCACTGTCGGGACGTTTGTTGCCGCTGAGCTACGAAATATAATAATATAAGCAACGAAATGTGGACAATTCGCGACCTACGTTCACCGTAACAGTGACAATCGACTAATTCCTGTGGATATTTTCAAGGCACGTTCTCCCACGCACAACCATTCTTTGGAATCAACTTCCAGCAGCAGTATTTCCGAACCGATACGACAACATAACCTTCAAGAAAAGAGTATAATCCTTTTTAAAAGGCCGTCAGCACACCTGCAATGCCTTTAGTGTTGTGGGCGATCATGGGCGGCGGTAGTCACTTACCATCAGGTGAGCCGCATGCTCGTTTGCCCCCTGTGTTGTAATATATATATATATATATATATATATATATATAAACATAATACTTCTTATAGTATATAATACTATAAGAAGTATTACTTATCAACGCATATATACATATGTGATGAGAAATTAATGAACTCACTGTTTCCATTAATTTCTCGTTACATATGCATATATGTAGATATTAATATGCCCAATTAAAAAATAAACAATTTTATGCCATATCCAATAATTTATAAGCTCATTGTGTCTAAAACAGAAAACAATGCCCAGCTCGGTCTCGGAAAATAGGAGATTTTGTTTAAATAATAGATACACATTTTATTTGCAAAACGGATGCACGCTTTGATTTACGTCGCCGAGTGTGTGCACAAGAACGTAGCTCTTTATTATAATTTTTGCAAAAATTTAAGAAAAAAAAAAATGTTGATATAAAAACAACATAAATATTTTTTTTCTTAGCCTTTACATTAAAAAAAATAAATATCATAAACAATCTAGCCGTGTGGTCTCGGCGTAGAATGGGCCACTACTTCCTTTCTCGTAGGTGTCGTAAGAGGCACCAACCTCCCTCTTAAAACATTCCCAAAGACTAATTGTGGTTGCCAACCCGTTTGCTATTCGTGGCAACTATTGACAAAACCCCCTTATGGAGGAGGTCTATGTTCAACTGTGGATAGTTAGTTATTAATATATTAAATAAATAATAATAAATAATCTAGTTTTAACATTAGGTTAATATAAAAATAGATGTATAAAAATACAAAATATTTAGTAGAGACTTTATCATTTCTATGTTATTTTTAAAATAGCAGTTAAAAATAAAATTCACACATATGCTTTTTATATGTTTTTTTTTTTTATACAACTTAGAATGGCAAACAAGCTGACGGCCCACCTGATGGAAAGTGGTAACCGTCGCCTATAGACATGAGCAGTACCGTGGACATAACAGAGTATACTGTTTCGCCCATGATACCCCCATGCGTTGCCATTCCTGAGGACTCAGGTGTTATTCCTCTGTACCCTGTAAATTCACGCCATATCCCACCCTTCAAACCGAAATACAGCCATGCAAACACAACTGCTTCACGGTAGAAACACGAGTGGGACAGAGGTACGCAAGCAATCGACTTTTTTACAAAGTCTCCCAATGGTATGTATCACTATATACTTGTAAACATTAATGCATTGCGGAAAGTCGATGGATGCAGGTGGCTTGGGACCATACCTTGTGGCACTATATGAGGGAGGAAGGGAACAGACAATGGCTGATATGATGATGATGAAGTAATCATTAATAATAATCACATTGTGATTTTTTCTAAAGAAAAAAAAAACATATTTCAAAATATACTTCTTTTTTTTTACAGGTACAAAAATGGTGATGCAACGACAGAAAATCCGCAAGAGAACGCGGTGAGGCGAAGCAAGAGGAAAAAACAACTAATATAACGATGTGACAGTACGGTGACAAACAATTAGGACACTTCGTAAACTTTTAACTAGAAAAAAGAACCAAAAATACTCTCACGATTCTCCTAACTTAGCTTCGTAAGCAGAATATTCAATAAGTGCCAACGATCAGTGCAAACACCCTATTAAAAAAAAAAAAAAAAACATATAAAAAGAACATTAACTAGTGTTATTTTTCAACGAACAGTTTAACGCAACGATAAGAAACTAAAATTAAATAACACAGTGCCACATCTCTATACTGCCAAGTGAAAAACGCGTTATTGAGAAAAAAAAACTGGTTATTTTTAACTGTTAATTGTTATTGTTAGAAAAGTGATGTGCTTTTGAGAATGGATCTGCACGCTCCACCGTTAGTTGTTCACGGTTATGAGCCCCATGCTCCGTTGTTGGAAGTTGAGGGTCTGGACCCTCATAGTCCACAGCAGAAGGTCTTAATTCACGCCCCAACTCTTCAAAGTCAAGAGTTGATGAGTAATGACCATCGGAATGGAGGTGAGTTGATTTTTATATTATGTAAATTTGTTTATTTTCATGCCAGATCTCTTATGAGGTAGGCAGAGAGTATCGAGCGGCGGCGAGTAAAGGTCTCTATCCTTTCACATCTCTTGCGTCAACCAATTTTATAATTCATCTCAGTTGTTAAGAGCGCATTACAGATTTTTAATAACTTAGTATCAAGTGAGTCCCCCCCGTCCTCAGGCCAGTCATGTGACTTTTAACTAACTAAAATTAACTTTTATTGTAAAGAAGATAACCTTACTAGAAGGAAAGGAAGGCAATAGGAGGTTAAAGAGGAAGACCGAGAAATAACTACATGGGACAGATAAAGAAAAAACTAGGTGCCATGTCGTATAGCAAGGTCAATGATATCGTCTGGAATATAGCTGGTTAGAAGAGAATGCATGAATTAGTTGCCCCGTGAAGAGAAAACTCTAAAATGAGAAGAGAGATTGTAAAACGCAACAGGTGTTTTTGCCCGTTCTTATAAGTTAAAATTGTATTCCGAATGGGCACTAGGATCATAAAAGAATATTAATTAAAAATGTTTATAATTATGTTTACTTGATTAAAAAATATTTTTATCTCTTTTAACTGGACAATGAATAACGCTGCAGAGTACCATTAAAAGGGGTTAAGAATTCATCAGGATCCACGATGTTTTCAGGGGTGGCCGCGTGGAGGTCGACCTGTCTATTGCCAGCAAAGACTAGCGTAGCGTTACTAACAGTCCCTCCCCTCTCCGACAATAGTAGTTGTATTGAGAGCAGATGTGTCTGATCTGACGTAGAGTATGACTTTGCAGATGAGCAGTACCACGCCCACAGCAGCAACCAGAGCAGCGATGGTGAGTACCGTACAATTTTCATTCTATTTCTTTGGACATAAGCAGATGCTAATTTTAAACGATTTAAAAAATGAAGGTTCTATGTTCGACTGTATGTTGTTTATTAAGTGATTAAAAATAAAAGAAGAGATTATAATTCGACGTTATTTTAGTATGAATGAATAGAAACGCGTCATTGTTCCCTTCGAAGAATGATACAGATTATAAATATTAACATTATGTACACAAACAAAAAAATATTAAAAATGCAAGATATAGATGCAACAATGGGCGGCCTTATTGCTAAACAGCAACATCTCTTCCTAGCAACCTTACAATGGAAAGGAACTTTGTACCAATTTTGATGATTCTTCGTGTAACACATTACATATTGTTTAATTATCCAAAACTATGATATATAATAGTTGACTTACTCGCATAATATGAATTATGCAAGCGTAATGACCCTAAAATTGCAGGCGTTTATAGGCTGCAGTAATTGCTTATCATCAGGTGGGCCTTATGCTTGTTTGTCGCCTTAGTGGTATTCATATTCTGCATAGATACATACTTGTAATATTAACTTTCAAATTATCAACCGACTACAAAAAGAAGAAGGTTCTCAACTCGACTGCATTTTTTTTATATTAGTTACCTCATAAATTCTAAACAAATCCGGATTTTTTTTATCCGAAAAGATCTATTTACAGATTGATGGCGTAGACATTTTATCAAAATCAGTTAAGTAGTTTAGTTTTTAGATCAAAATAATTGGTTTTAATTATAAATGATTTTATAAATATTATAAATGCAAAAGTTTGTAACAGTGAATATATGGATAGATGTTTGTTACTCTTTCACGTAAAAACTACTGAAATTTGATACACAGGTCGGATATATCCTAACTTAGCACGTAGGATACTTTATGCACTAATTCACGCGGGCGAATCCGTAGATACAGCTAGTCTTGAAAGAAAAAAAAAAGAAAAAATGCAAAATTACTTTCAACATAATTTCTATACACTAAAACTTTCTAAACAAAAAACTAGCTAGATAAATATCTAGCTAGTTTTTAAACGGCTACTTATTTTGATATTTAAGTCAACTAATACAGTCCTTGTCAAGTACTGAACCGCTTTTTAAAAGCGTTTTAAACACCATCTATTTTAGAGGCGCACAGTCCTGTATTTTTTATAAATGGGTGATAATTGAATAGTAACATCGCCTGCGCTACCAGTATATACGAGTACTTAGTGGCACCCTGCCACTGAGTTATAATAGGTGAAGATGAAGTCAGGTCAATTGGTTTGTCGTGAAGAATTCACCAGGTATTAACTACTGCTGTTTCCAAGCAAGATTGCATGGAAGCCGTCCTGACAGGATATATTATTTGCAATTAAAGGCAATGGGGACGCTAATCTTTATTATTTATAAACCCGTGTCCTTGGTGACGGTTACAATCAGGTAGACCGTTAACCTGTTTGCCATTTACATATCCTTTTTTTATATGGGCAAAAATGAAGTACGTACCTCGTGTGCGCTACTAATACATACTGGGAAAGAGATTGTAAGTAATGGGGTCAAATAGCTCTATTACTAGCAATATACCCTGTCAGGTCGACCTCCACGTGGTTCCCCCTGGAAACCATCGTGACTAATTCTAGTTTAACTCGTCAGGATGGGCTAACTGACCTACTTTCATCTTCATCTGTCATCTATCACTGGTGCCCCGCCAGTGTATACCGATAGCGCAAACGGGGTTACCACATCATAATCACTCATTAAAAAATACATATTGGCGGGGCAGTAGTGAGGAACATTAGGTGTGGAAGGTCAGTTAGCCCATCGTAACGAATTCCATTAATTAAACAACAACCCTGACGAATGCCATTCATATACTTATTTAGAAATCATGAAATAGTAATTCGTAATTAAAATGCCTTCCTTTCCCAATGTAATTAATGGAACTTAATGATCAAAGAATCAGCGGCAGCGTCCCTCTTAAAACATCACCAAAGTCTCACTCCGGTTGCTAATTCGCTTGCTAAGCGCGGCAACTACTGGCACAGACCCCCCCCCCCCCCCCCAATAGGAGGAGGCTTATATTCAGCAGTGTATAGTTAACGATCTGATATGATGATGATGATTGAAAAATAGAACGCAGCATACTTGTACAAATAGGTTGCACGGAATCAGTTTAAATTAATATTTGTGAGGCTTCTCATCTTAGGGTCGCAGTGATTTCTAAAAGCGACCCGCGGTGTAAACTTTTGTGTATAGCTTCACTAAAGAGCAGGCAGACGACAATTAAATGATACTGTTTTTTCAATAACACAAACACAAACAAAGAAGCGTGGTGTAATTACGTAGTTACATTTGTGTGAAAGTAAGCGATACGTATAATAATTTATAAGGGCGTGGTCGCAGTGCAGACGGTGTGTGTATTTTTTATTTCATTAATAGGATACTAGCGATCTAGCCTGACACGGGTAGATGGAGTTTTCGAAAATAATATATTGCCTGTTCTATTCGACCCCAATAATCTAACTCAAATAAACCTAATTCATCTGTCAAGTTAGATATTGTTGTTATTCTTGATATTGATATCGTCGATTATGCCCACTTGAGCGTAAATCAGTCGATTATAATTGAATAATTACTTAATCGATTAAAACTGAAATAATAAAAAAAATTATTTTATTTGCTTAAGTGAATGAATGATAACTTTATTTACTTTAATGCAAATTATTAGACTAAACGTATTTAACGTTAACAGCAGTATCTTTGTATCTCGCCATGCATCATGTAAATATTTAATTTGGTACTTGTTCTTAAAATTTTACATTAAAAGAGTCTTAAAGTGAATAAAAATATTTTCAACAAAGTCATTTGTAAAGTTTTTCATAAATTTTGTCTGTCAAATCTGTGTATTCTTTCGGTAATTTATTATATATTTTCACTGTCATATAGCAACAGCTTTTGCTGTACAATGCCATTCTGTATTATAAGTGGTTTTTGTGCAACAATTCTCTCTTAACACGCAGTCTTCATTTTTCTCAAAATTTATATAGTGTTTTCGAACAAATTTATTAATTTTGAATATGTACAGCGACGGTAATGTTAGTAATTTTTAATTTTGATCAAAATCGATCTACAAGAATCTTTCTCTTTAAGATAAAAAATTGATCGATCGATCCACTTCTTTTAAAGTGTAAATACAAACGACAACTATATTACGCGTGATCTCTATCACACTATCGATTAATAATTGATACCTAATGATTAATAAGCGACGCTACGCCACATATCTACCTCGCTAACACTGCGACTGCACCGGTGACGAGCGACCCAAAGTGTCAGCCGCTCCAACTAATTTCACAGCGATTTAGTCAAGTGTACACGCACAAAAAATGCCCATTCACCCGCCGGCTACTTGACGGTGTGAGCGGCGGACGCGGGACGTGGTCGGCTAGTGAAATTTTTGAATGAATCGATTTATTACGATCCGTGGATATTCACTGCAGTGTTGAATAGAATATTTTCCTACATGACATTTTACGGGGAACGATGTTATTTTTTATTAATGGTAATGGAATGGTAACCTTGCCTATGCTATCGGTATACGCTGGCGGGGCACCAGTGAGGGATGATAGCTGAGGATAATAGCAGGTCAGTTGGTCCATCGTGACGAATTCCAGAAGCATTAACCGAATTGGTTTCCAGTCAACAGCGTGAGTGTCGATCTGATAGGGTATATAGCAATATATAGCAATGTTAACAAGCAATATGCCCCTTAGATTCCCATTTTGTAATAATCCGTTTCCCCTAAGATGAAGGTTAGGATAGGTTGCTAGCTCCTGTAATTTACTGACAATACGTTCTTAGTAAGTTACAGAAGGTAGCAACCTTATTGCTAGCAATACTCTATCAGTTCTCCTTGAAAACTGCCGTTATAAAACCTTGGTGGATTCGTCACGTTTCTAATCTCTCCTCGTGGTAATCCACAAGTAAAAACAAATTACACAGGTGTTGTCATTCCATAATCATCTGTTATAAAATATGACTTTTTGAATATTTTGGACATAATCCATCGTCATCTCTACATTCTGATACCTTTATTAATATAAGTTTGTGAAAATGTATGTATGGATGGATGATTGTTACTATTATTGTATGGATTTGAATGAAATTTGTTACACGGATAGGCTATATTCTAACTAAGAATATTGAATTTTTTAAACTGTGATTTAAACTAGCGAAATCACAGTTAATAGCTAGTTTTATTTATGTAAGTTTTTAGTTAGTTAATTATCAACTAACCAATTCAGTGAACTCTCATCTCTAAATTTGATTCAAAACCATCAGACATTTACGTTTTTGAGCAATAAATAGCTCAATATTTTTAACCGATTTAAAAAGAAAGAGGTTCTCAATTCAGTTGTATTTTTTATGTATGTCACCTCATAACTCCGTTAATTATAAACCGCAGTTTGATTTTTGATGGCGTTTTAAAAGGGACGCTGCTGCCCTTCCCTCGCCCTCCCTTCGTGACCTCTTATGGCACCTACACGACCATGCAATGGGATTGCTTATTTATATCCATTACTAACAATCCCTTCTCGGAATGGAAAGGGATTGTTGGCAATGGAGTTTGACAGCCCCACTGCTACTGCTATTAGGTCGACCTCCACGTGGTTCCCCCTGGAAACCATCGTGAACAATTCTTGTTGAATTCGTCACGATGGGCTAACTGACCTGCTTCATCCTCACCTATCATCCTTCACTGGTGCCCCGCCAGTGTATACCGATAGCGCGGGTGGGTCTACCATTCCATTATCATCCATTAAAAAAAATAATCCCTTGTCACCCCATATTATTCCATTATCTCCCGTTAAAAAAATACAGCATATAATAACACACAGATATTTAAATGTGTTAACCAGTAAACCAAGCCGTGTCTGAAGGTGGCCAGTCATGGCTGGCGGTGGTTTTTTCATCAAGTTTCGCTTTCGAAGCGCGTG